CACAAAATATAATGTAATGGCGTCCATGTTTAATTCATGAGTGAGGGAATGGCATTTAGATGCTGTTTGCTAAATGGGAAAAAAACCCCACAAAAGAAGCAGGAAAATCCAATAAAGCCTCAAGACAGAAGTGCACATAGTAAAAGGTAGTGGGGAGGGGGGGATCATCGGAACACTCTTTAATCAATGTAACATAGATTAATTTGTCCATTTGTATCAACAATGTAATTTGACTTATTTCAAGGAAACATCATTTTTACTTATATTAACTTTTGAAGCAATATTTAGAGATCACCCACCTTTTGATATCATAACAAAATTATACTTGCATTGAAAAAAATTGCTGGTCAAAAAACCATGTAGCAAAATGAATATATTTAAACTGAATGGGATTTTGCTGAATGCACAATCTAAGGAAAAAGAAGGCTTAAAAAATTGGAAACTCCACAACTCATCTTCTTAGTAGCTATCTGCACATTTTACTGTGTCATTCAAATTTAATTGACAGCGTGGTTATTTCGGAAAAAAAATAAAGGAAAAATAAAAATGATTGGTGCAACTCCTATAGAATGACACCAGTCCATGCTTATACAGCATCCAGTTCAAAGACCTACAAAATAAATAGGGTCAACTCACAAGTTACATATCTGTCTGAGTGTCTCTTGCAAGGAGGAAGACATTTATTAGGACTTTGTATTTGCAATGAGTGAGAACTTGCGGTCTCCCTACAGTTTCTCTTACTCTTTTAAGACATTGATGAAAAGGACAGAAATATGAAAATGAGAGAATGAATTTCAAGCCACTTTGACACAGAGATAGCATAACAGGAGAACTCTAAGCAACTCTAGAAAAAGCCCTGAATCTTTTTTTTTTTTTTTTTTTAAGATTGGAGAAAGTTAAATGGACTGAGTGAAAAAATAAGCTCACTAGAAAAGTGGTATTTGAGTTACAGTTAATGCCTAAAATCTGATAAAATGTCATAACTAAGAAGGACCTCAGAGACCTATTAGGGCAGTGATTCTCAAAATTTGGGTGCTTGTCAAAATACATATTACTAAATAGTATCCCTAGAGATTTATTAATTCAATGTAAACTTATTGATGTGCTACTATCTTCTAAGCTCTGGGGATGTGGTGGTGACTGAGCCAAAATCATTGTCCTTTAAATGAATGTTAATGCAAACAGTCCAAAAGTCATAATTTGAGAAACATACTCTTTTCCAACAATTTTGCTATTAGAATTACCAATATTTTGATACTAATTTTTCATAGCACCTTTTAACCTTACGATTCAAATGGAATATCTAGAATTTATTTCCCAGAATGAACAAGCAAAACTGGCCAGCGGCTCCCTCTGCAGTCAAGATAACTGGGTTACTTCCAGCTTCTGTGTCACTTTGGGCAAATTAATTAATCTAAGCCTCAATGTCATCATTTGTAAAACAGGAATTAAAAAGAGTACCTACAACATTTGGCTTGATATAAGGATTAAATGAGCTAATATCTATATTGACTGGTATATGGTAAGCACTCCAGTAAGTATAAATTTTTATTATACATCAATCACTGTGATTGTACAAGTTTTCTTATGAACCCCCCCAAGTGGATCCATCTGAGTCTAGTAGAATCATGGAACTTCAGAGGCGGGAAAAATTTTATAGATTGTTGATACGTTATGATGGTGTTGAAATAGTGTTGGTTGGGGGGGGGCACAGATTTAAACTGCTGAAGGAACTCATTCATGGCTTTGAACTGTTTTGTCTAACAGAATTCCATGTGCAACTTTAGTAGAAAAAAGTCCTGCTGTTAAGAAAAGCTTGAAAATCACTGGCAATCCCAATCCTTCATTCTAAGGATGAGAAACCGAGAAGGGTAGTGACTTGTCCAACATCACACAGCAGGAGTTAGTGGTAGAGTTAATGTAGTTACCAGGCTTCTTTAAAGAAGATTTAGAAATGACAATGTGTAAAATTATTGCCTCAAACACTTTGCAGATTAAGATTGAGTAAAAATACATAAAAACAAAAATAAAGCATCTCTATTTACTGAAAACCATTTGAAATGTCGACATTCTTTCTCTATAGGTTAAATATGTTCCCAAATACCATACAGTGACTTTTCAGTTTGGCTGTAAGTGTAGAGAAGAACAGAGCTCTAAAAATAATTAAAAATTTAATTCTTAGGAATTATAAATTCCAACTATGGTAAAATTCAGACTAATTCTTAATAAGAATTTATTTTAAAAATATCAAGAAAATATGGAATTTATTTTAAAAAGAAAAACATACTTTCCATGTTGTCAAAATAAAGCAATATCATTCATACTTTCTATCTTGTTAGAACAGAAACTTTTAAAATCATAAATCTCAGGAAATGGTGTTCTGGTTAATGAGAACTCTTGCTTTTTATTTTAACCCCTGGTATTGAAAATATTACTATATACTTGCCCATTTTGTTTAATTTTAGGAACTGATAATGAACCTGACTTAATGTTGTTGTGGTTTTTTTTTTCAATGGCAGAGACTCTTGCATTGTCTAGGATTATTTTTCCTAATGTGAATTCCTATTGTACAGTACTATAGATACAGGTATAACAGGTATAAACTATAAGTTTGAAAAAAAGCCCACCAGAATCTAAATCCCTGATATGAGTTTATTGTGTTATTCTTTGACCTATTTTCTGAAAGGAGAAGGGATGTATTCTCTAATGAGGTTCTGGTTATTGAAAGTTTAATGATTATGAAGCCAATGACTTCCATCCTGTTTCACAAAGCCTAATTAAGGGATCATAAGAGATCTCCATAGTTTCAAATTTAGTTCCTGGAAACATTTGAATAATGTTAGAAATTGTTGTAATCTATGTTTTAAATTATATTTTTTACAATATCAACAAAATTACTCTGAAAAAAAAAACCATTGTGCTTAATTACTAATTCACGCTAGAACTATATAAAATAAAATATAAAGAGCAAGACATAAGAACCAGTAATATTTACACATTTTTAATATGCTTTGTACTAATAATATTCAATATGTTTTCTCATGAATTCCTTAAAAACGCATTTTTATATTTGTATGTTGGATAATTCTCAATTATCTTACCTACAACTATCTGCTTATTCTCCATTGGTTTCAGTGTTTGAAGTTTTCCCTATGTTTTATGGGAGTGAAAAGTTTGCATTTTCTATTTTGGTTTCAAAATCAAATTGAGTATCTTTACTTAAAATGAGTATATTAATAATTTGTTCAAAAAACTTCAATACCAGACTGGGGAGCCAACTGAGAGTGTTTGGATAGTAGGAATTCTTCTGAGGTGAAACAGACCTTTTTGAACATTCTCTTGGTAGCAAGCACTGATTGAGAAGTACAAATATTAATTTAAAAAGTTCCACTATAAACAATTGCCAGTCACAATCTTTTTTTAAAAGTAAGACTTACAAAATTTAATTTGATTCTAAAATTTAAAGGGCTAACGATTCTTTGTCAAATATAAGTGAATGTAAAACTTAACAACTAATGATAAATATAACAGCTTAATAATTACAGTTATTTAACAGTGTAACTTAGAATAAGAATTGGTTCATGTTTAAAGAAAGCTCTATGACTTAAAGGGAGTTTTATATTGTCAGATGGTAGAGGAGGGAGGTTTTACAACTGTGACCCACCCCTGAAGAAGTGCTTCTCCATTCTGAATCCCCCCAGTGTGAGGCCAGACTGAGTAATTACAGTTTTAATCACACCTTGCAACAATGAAATCATGACATAAATTTTTGATAACTCTCTTCCTGGTTCCCTAAGAGTGGCAACGATTTATAGTTAGTTACATATGATGAATCTTAGCCAAAAGGAAATTTATTCTACAATAATGTGGATAGAATCTCATAATCTCATTTATAAAGCTTTTTTTTTTTCCTTCCCAAATGATATAAATGATGATGATTAAAATTTTCCTTCTGGACTTAAATAGGGAACTAAATTTTTTTTTTTTCTGAGATTTCAATCTTAGTGTTTTGATTCCTGTAGGTAAAGAGAAAGATATGTGACCATTCTCCATGTTAGATGGGAGAGACTCTGTTCAGAGTAATTGTGCAAAAGCTGTTAACCAGTTCACCTATGGAAAGTTTTGAAATTTTAAAATCACAATTTTGGCTTTAGTCTGATATTATTCAGCAAATCTCCACATTTGCTAAACTGTAGAGAGAGGGGGGCAAAGTTAAGACTTGAACATCTTCTCTACTCTTGGTTAGAATTTCATATACTTAAACTTTAAATATGAATTGCTTTCCCTTTTTACACAAGTTATAAAAATAAGAGGTCCTGTTTACACAGTTTGCATTTTTATGAAATTTGCAGTTTGAAAAAAAAGCTTTTTAAAAAGTGGTAATTAATGCTTTTCTTGAATATGCTGTAACTTTAGAATTTTTTTTTCTGAAATAGTTTCTGAATTTAACCCACTAAATATTTGAAGATAGAATTTTTATTTAGCACTAGAGTAAAACATACTAAGCATTGAAGAAAAGGAAGTTTTTTTTTCCTGGTTCCACTTAATTTTCTTTGTATGTGGCACCCCCTTTATGACAGCTATCAATATTATATTTAAATTTTATATATTGACAAAATGCAATCTACCTCTGTAAGCATTGTGCCATTCAACAGTACTACTATTAAATTTACATACCACAGTTGAAATTACATCCATTTCAGGAATGGTAAAATGCTAAAACTCAAGTGTCTAACTGCCTTACTGGAATGAGTACAATTTACAAATACAATAATTACATTTTAAAACCATTAACAATATTACACCTAGAAGTAAATACTGTAAGACTGGTCACCATGGTATTGTGTGAGGGAAATCATTGCTGAAAATCACTGACATTTCCAGCAGATATATCCCGAGTGCAGATTTTGGTTTGTTTTCATCAAACCAAAATTAAAACCTGTTTCTCATACAACAGTTCTCCATTATATGAATCCTCCAAATCCTTGCATATGATTTTATTAGTTATCTGCCAAGTATTTTCCTGCAAAACAAAACAACATATCAACAGGTTACCTTCCATAACGTGATTATTATATGGGGGCAACATTTTTATTCTTCCTGCCCTACCACTAGAAGCTAATCGCTGCATCTTGAGGAGAGCAATACTAGTATCAAATATGTGCAATTTTTTAAGTTTTCAATTTCCCAGCCCAGCAAGTTGTCTTTTCACATTTCCGTGAATGAATCCTTTGCAGAGGTTTAGGTTTTAGGATAGGGTGGAGGATTTGTTCCCGGATGTGGGAACCCAACTTGTTACAGGAATAGTAACCATATAACCTGGGTCATTTTTGACAGTGAAAGGGCTATAACTGATAATTACACGAGTATAGCAGGCATAAAAACCAGCAAGTCATTGATATCTTGTTATCCCAGCAAGTCATTGATAAGTATAATCATCCTAGTATTGGGGACTCCTTTGCCAACCAACTATTATATATGCCAAAAACCTGTCTCACGGCCATTGCAGCTCATGGGCAACCATTGTTGATACCTGGCCTAGATTCTTTAAGGGTACTTATATTAAAGTGAAAGATAGATGTTCTCAGAGCTCAGCTATGCCTAAAAAGTCTAAAACCTATGAAGTCCTGTTGGAGAGAAAGTTTTCAGTTAAGAGGTAAATTCAAAGGCAAATAGCATTTATTTTGTTTGCCCATATATATATATTTTTTTGTTTGCCCATATATATATATATATATGTATATGTGTGTATATATATATATATGTATATGTATATGTACATATATATATATATATGTAGGATTTACTCCATTAACCGTAGTGTATACATGTATATAATGGGAATGACTGGTCATCCCTGCATAAGAAACAGAACCAGAGGCATGATAAATAGTCAGGGCCTTTCTAATTTCTGATTTCCAGTTTATTATCCCATTTTTACCTCATTCTATAATTGGTTTGCTTTCTAACTGGGATGAGAAATGGGGGTTGGGAGTGGGGAAGAGGAAAAGAAAGAAGATGAGCAAGTGTTGCTACGGCAACACTATTTTTGCAAATGAAACTCACAGGATACCCACTTACCTGCAGCAAATCTTTTCTTGATAAGTGAAAACCGATACCCTGCTCCAACAAGTTCAATGTCACAACCAGAAAGGGTGCTTCCTTCACTTGTGAACTGCACAACCAATGGGGAAGGTTTGCTTGGGCCTTCAGATAACTGAAATCTTGCCAATAAAGAACCCACCCCTAAGAAAAGAGTATCATTACAACAGTCAACACAACATGATGGATATAGTTTGGGAAATTGTATTCAAAAGTTAACATACACAATCTAACTTACTAGACAATAGTATATGTTTCAGTGACAAAATGGTAATGAATGAAATTAATCATGAAATGTTATAAGGAACTCCTTTTTGCACACCGATGAAAGTGTAACTCAGCCAAATAGTACTCCAAAATTTGGGAGCATGATACTTAGAAGGCAACGTATTTTCCAAGCTATGATTAATATCACAAGAAAGTAAGAAATACCTAAACTAGCAGAGAGTTGAGATCGGATACAAAATGAAAACATGTCTCATGAAAAGCTCTTCTCTGAAGAATAGTCTGTTTGATGTGGGGGTGGACAGAAAAGGGGAAGTAGAGGATTCATGCAGGAATTATTTGCTTTTATTGGTTGAAATAAGTATATACCAAAGTGAAGTGAAATATTTTGCTTGTTTTCAGTCTAAGTGTATTTTTGCTAATAGTTTTCTAATACCTGAAAGTTATTTCAGCCTTAAATATCAATTAAAATAAGCCTACAATGACATTACCTCCATTTTCTGACTTCTGAGAAATATCAGGAATCTTCCACAATATTCTCTGTTGTTCAGCATTCCTAAAAATAAAATAGGTAAAAGGCTTTTGCATAGGCAAAGGTTTTTGTCTAATGGATGCCATATTTTTTCTAGATAGTGCTAACTTAAAAAAATGAATCTTGAAAATGTTAACTACAATTTATGCTTTATCTATCTACCTACGTACCTATCTATGCATCCATCCATCCATCCATGCATCCATCTATCCATCCATCTATAATTCTCTCTTTTTTCTGTTCCTTATTGTAACTAGCCACAACACTGTCAGATAGGAAAACATGTAGAAGACAGGCAGTTATTTGACACAGCTACTGAAAACACAGATGAGAAATGTTAACCAATTAATTCAGGTAACTTAAGTTGGAGCTATCATATGGCTGACTTTCTTTTTAATGTTCTCCCTTTTGCTTCTAAGAATCACATGGAAAAACTAGAGTAATTTTTTCTAAGAGAACAAGTTCTTTTTAACAACTGCTATCGGTACGCAGTGTCTATTCAGTATCTGTTCCCATACCTTCTCTAGTGGTGTCTTTTTATAGCTCAGAAGGCTATAAAACAAAACCCTACATTTCTTAGACACCCCTGTAGTTAGGGTCCTAGATGCATGTTAGGGTCTACCAATTACATGCACTGCTTGAGATTTGGAGGATAGAAGGGAGGCAGAGGCCATTCTCCTGCCACTTTTGTAGCTGTTTTCTGCTGGCCAGTAACCCAACTGAGATGTGGGGGTCTTCTAACAAAGTGCTCCATACAGCCCAGGCTCCAGTTCTGTGAGTGTTGAGAAGTAGTTAAGGCAGTGCCGGTAGGAACTTTCTTATCCTTGGATCAACATGGCAGCAGTGAGTTCTTGAATTCAATGGCTCCATGAGCAGCTTCCTGGTATCTATGCTTCTTGGTTGTGGCTGAGGTAGCAGCTTCCCTGGCAGGCCAGTTCTGCAGTGTTCTGGGAAACATTCTTGGAGATCCAGCCTAAAGCTTATTCCTCTAGCACTTCCACCATCGTGTGAGCATCTGAATCCCTGTGTTAAATCATTTTCTGCTTAAAATAACAGAACAGAATGGTTGCTGTTTCCTGCTCTGAACCCTGACACATAGGCCTGCTGTGATCTCCTCCTGTAGGAAACACAAATGCTAAGAAGTCTGTGATCCCTTTGCCCAGAAAGAGCCCATTGATAAAGAGGAAGGGGACTGGGGTCTCCTTACCAGACTGCTGGTGGGAGAACGGCCTGGAGCTTGGTTACCCCTCCATCTATGGGGACCAGGAACTGCACGTTGTTGAGGGCCACCGCAGTTGTCATTGCATCCGTATTGTATTTGTAATCTATGCGCAGGTCAGTGCTTGCTGGCTCACACCGCCAGTTCACTGCCAGGTTCAGGGGTGTGGACTGAATGCCCTGGGCAGACACCTTGCCAAACGATAGCAAAGAGAATATTTAAGACTCGACCACTAATCTGAGACAAAGCTAGAAGCTCTGACTATCTCCCATGGGAATACTCTTAGCTATAAAATGTCACAATGTTGTCAGTGCTGTTTACAAATGAGCCGTCAATAAATTATCACTGTGAAGGGTGCCCTGTGAAAGAGAGATGGGTGCTACAGGTAAATTGTTATAGGTTAAAAACATAAAATCTCCATAGCACTTTAGAGTTTACAACGCACTCTAGGTCAGTTAGGGAGGTGTTTAGGAGCTGGTTAGGAGCTGAGGCCAAGGAGTTAGTCTTGGATCTGAGTTCTGACTGTTACTTACAAGCGGATCTTGGACCAGTCACTAAACCTCTCTGAGCCTTAGTTATTTCTTCATCTGCCAAAGGGGAATTATAATAATAATATCCACCCCTAGAGTTGTCAGGAAAATCGAAGATACTTTATGTGAAACAGTCAGCATAGTGCCTAGCACTTAGTAAAAGCATTAGTGTTTTCACACAGATTACCTGCTGATACTCTCATACTTTCTCTTCACAACATACCAGCCAGTTAGACAAAGCAGATTATTATTATTCCTTTGGGATCTGCCAGGGTGAGGACTTGAACCCAGGTCCTCTAATTAGAATGGGTACATTCTACCGTCTCCTGCCAATTCTAGCTAGAATCAACGATGAATTTGACCAAGGAAAAGCCACATTTGCAGAATCAACAATACTGTCTTATCTAAAGACAAAAATACCAACTTGATTTCTGGGTCCACAGTGAGTTCACAATGTTATTATGTCTCGATTGTTCACTGTGATGGTACTCTAGGAGACTTCTTTAACCAGCACACATACATATACTGCAGGGTCTGTGTGGGTGACGTCTATGCCCTTGCAGTCGTTTTTGTTTTTAAGTTTATTTAGAGAGAGACAGTGTGCGTGCGTGAGCTAGTGTGGGGCAGAGAGAGGGAGGCAGAGAATCCCAAGCAGAGCCCAACATGGGGCTGTCTCACTAACAGTGAGATCATGACCTGAACCTAAATCAAAAATCAGACGCTAAACCAACTGAGCCACCCAGGCGTTCCATGCCCTTCCAGTTTTTTTGTGTGGAGTCTGAGTTTTGCCAATTTTAAAGATTATAAACAGCTGGCTATTGGCCTAGCATTGCTCACACATAGGGACACCATGGGGAATGGGCCTGAGGGCAGGTTGAGCTCAGAAGGCAGCAGTGGTTGCTACAGAAACAAGCCCAGATATGGGTTCTTTTATAAAATGACAGACATGGCTTTCAATGACAACTTTAGTTAGATAACTATTATAAGTTTTTATACTTGAAATATTTTTAGTGGCACAAGCCTCTGCAAATGAACTATGCTTTGAAAATGTGTTATATAAGGTAAATCAAAAGCACAGCAGACTGACCCTTCCCTGCCTGTTTCTGCCCTCTATCTCAGTGGTAGTTCTTGACTTCACAGTGGCTCCTCTACCCAGTGACAAGTGCTTTTTGAATTTGTACAGGTGTGTTTTTGATTGGATGCTCCTGGTGGCCAAAAAATAAACATGCTGAGATTTTAAGGCAATCCCACAACATGCTTGCTGTGATTCCCACCCAATTCCTTGGATGGTTGGAAAAAAGTATGACCACAACTAAACAACAAATGGGATTCCTCAGAGCTCACTTTAAAACAAAACGGCAGGCCTAGGGCTACTTATATTTTACAAATACTTTGAAATATATTAGGCTATTAATCCCTCACAACAACCTATAAAACATCTAGGTAGGACTGTTATTCAGCATAGTGTTGGAAGTCCTCAGAAATCAGACAACACAAAGAAATAAAAGGCATCCAAATCAGCAAGGAGGAAGTCAAACTCTCACTCTTCACAGATGACATGATACTCTATGTGGAAAACTCAAAGACTCCATGAATAGCCTGCTAGAACTGATCCACGAATTCAGCAAAGTCGCAGAATATAAAATCAACATACAGAAACTGCATTTCTATATGCCAGTAATGAAGCAGCAGAAAGAAATCAATTTACAATTGCACCAAAAACAATAAAATACCTAGGAATACACCTAACCAAAGAGGTGAAAAATCTATACACTGAAAACTATAGAAAGCTTATGAAAGAAAATGAAGAAGATGCACAAAAAAAGTGGAAAACCTTCCATGCTTATGGATCAGAAGAACAAATATTGTTAAAATGTCTACACCACCCAAAGCAATCTACATATTCAGTGCAATTCCTATCAAAATAACACCAGCATTCTTCACAGAAAAAACAACCCTAAAATTTGTATGCCCAAAGACCCAAACAACTCAAAGCAATCCCTGAAAGAAGAAAAGTTGAAGCATCAAGATTCTGAGACTCAGGTTGTATTACATGTGCCTGTAATCATCAAGACAGTATGGTACTGGCACAAAAAACAGACACTCAGATCAATGGATCAGAATAGAGAACCCAGAAATGGACCCACAAACATATGGCCAACTAATCTTTGACAAATCAGGAAAGAATATCCAATGGAATAAAGACAGTCCTCAGACTGGGACCTCAACAAAATAAAAAGCTTCTGCACAGCAAAGGAAACAATCAGCAAAACTAAAAGGCAACCGAGAGAATGGGAGAAGATATTTGCAAATGACATATCAGATAAAGGCTTAGTATCCAAAATCTTTAAAGAACTTACCAAACTCAACACCCAAAAAACAAATAATCCAGTGAAGAAATAGGCAAAAGACATGAATAGACACTTTTCCAAAGAAGACATCCAGATGACTAACCAACACATGAAAAGATGCTCAACATCACTCATCAGGGAAATACAAATCAAAACCACAATGAGATACCCCCTCACACCTGTCAAAATGACTAAAAGTAACAACTCAGGCAACAACAGATGTTGGCAAGGATGCAGAGAAAGAGGAACCCTTTTGCATTGCTGGTGGGAATGCAAACTGGTACAGCCACTCTGGAAAACAGTATGGAGGTTCCTCAAAAAATTAAAAATAGAACTACCCTATGACCCAGCAATTGCACTACTAGGTATTACCCAAAAGATATAAGAGTGCTGTTTCAAAGGGGCACATGCACCCAGTGTTTATAACAGCACTATCGACAATAGCCAAATTATGGAAAGAGCCCAAATGTCCATCGATGGATGAATGGGTAAAGAAGATGTGGTATATATATATATATATATA